ACAATGATCAAGTTGTAACAGATAAAGCGCGGTACGGCTCTCCTCCAAAATGCGGAAAAAAGTTGTAACTTGAAGGTGGCTCTAGCTTTGAAATTGTTTGGGGTTCGCTTATCGGTGCAACCTGTGAATATGTCCTAATAATGGATCTGAATCTGTTCCAGATTGAAGCTGCTTGTGGCCATACCCCCATGCTGTTGTTTAGAACACTCTCTAAGGTAGCAGATCATAGATTGCAGCTGTTTATCTAACAATGCTTCAATATCATAACCCTGTGAAGAAAGAACTTTATTCAGCAAGGAATTAAAAGAATCATGTTTCAGTAGCTGGAGTGTGGGGCATTAGCGTTTCCCTCTGATGAAAAGAGATGTTAAAATTAAAGTATTTTGAGTTACGGAGCCACCAACAGTAAGAAAACAGACGCAAGAATATATAATTCACGTCAATTATGCTTGTAAAAAAAGCAGAACGATCAAGCATAATTTTCCGATTACGGAAAATGTCAAGTGCAATGGAAACTGAATCTGTTTTACTCAAACAACTCCAACGATCACGGCCCTCAAATTACGTACAATAACTTAAAAATAATTCTAGCAAGCCAAGTCAAGCCAATAAGCCTAAAAACCCTCAGTTACGCAACTACACGATGGCGGTCAGCTGGTGAGCTTGACATGCGAACAACTGCTTTCTTTGGCTATTGTTTAGTGAGCTTATCATTTTAAAATGGATACTCTCTGTTCAAAAAGAGCCAAGATGTTGAGTTTCACAGAAATTTGGTATCAAACAAAACCAAGACTTAAACACATGACTTATGCAACTCTCTTCTTCCTTGGTTTTAGCAAACCATTTTAGAGCTCTAACCACCGTCAAAGATATGCATGCCTTAAACCTTACCAGTATACTTTGCCTGCGAGTGCTATAAATTCCTTTCACCTGACTTAGNGTTTAGAACACTCTCTAAGGTAGCAGATCATAGATTGCAGCTGTTTATCTAACAATGCTTCAATATCATACCCCTGTGAAGAAAGAACTTTATTCAGCAAGGAATTAAAAGAATCCTGTTTCAGTAGCTGGAGTGTGGGGCATTAGCGTTTCCCTCTGATGAAAAGAGATGTCAAAATTAAAGTACAGTTTTGAGTTACGGAGCCACCAACAGTTAGCGAATAGACGCAAGAATATATAATTCACGTCAATTATGCTTGTAAAAAAAGCAAAACGATCAAGCATAATTTTCCGATTACGGAAAATGTCAAGAGTAGTGGAAACTGAATCTGTTTTACTCAAACGACTTCAACGATCACGGCCCTCAAATTACGAACAATAATTTAAAAATAATTCTGGCAGGCCAAGTCAAGCCAATAGGCCTAAAAACCCTCAGCTACGCAACTACACGATGGCGGTCAGCTGGTGAGCTTGACTGGCAAACAACTGCTTTCTTTGGCTATTGTTTAATGAGCTTATCATTTTAAAATGGATACTCTCTGTTCAAAAAGAGCCAAGATGTTGCGTTTCGCAGAAATTTGGGATCAAACAAAACCAAGACTTACGACTTATGCAACTCTTTTCTTCCTTGGTTTTAGCAAACCATTTTAGAGCTCTAACCACCGTCAAAGATATGCATGCCTTAAACCTTACCAGAAAACTTTGCCTGCGAGTGCTATAAATTCCTTTCACCTGACTTAGCATACAGATGGTAAGCTCAGTGTCCTCTGAAGCGGACAGTTGTATACAGGCTAGACCGTCACGGGTCCTAAACAGGCTTACCTTATCACTGTCTTGATACGACACTGGCAACAGTTTCTCAATTGTACCTTGCTGAAGCTGCAAAAAATTATCAAGATATTAACAAGAGTACTTGGTGTTTGAAGCGCAAACCTCTTTCGCAAGGTACAGCTTAAATAGCAAGAGGCTGAAATGCTCTAAGTAGCATCTGGTTAAGCAAATAAGAAACAGTGGAGTCTCCGTTGTTCTTTTAGGGAAAGTGAAAACATGTAGAACACTTCAAGCTTCGAACACAAGCAACAAAATTCCTCCTCAATTCCCCTCTCAGATGTTTTGCCTGAGCTTTGCCTAAGCTTGATTTCTTTTATAGACAGAACAAAAATCAAGTTATGATGTTTGCAATCCGTTTAACCCCTCATCAGTCCTAATTTTCTACCGTTTTCAAAAGGTTCAAATCAATTTGACTCCAATTAAACTAACTGATCTCTTTTACGGTTTGGTTTCCAATGGTGCCATATAATAATCAAAGTCATCGATCGAGAAGAAATCAGAAACCATGAACTCTTCCCTGAGAGGACGGCAATTATTTCTGACCGTGACTAATGATGTCGTTATATTTTAAGGGATAAAGTCGTTATGTCACTGCACTGCAAGGCTCGATAGCTACTGTAATGATACTAACTAAGTTCACATTAAGTGCTTAGTATCCTTCAGCTTACCAATACTTTGACCTGCGCATCTGGAAAACTCCTGACTTTGACAAACACAGCGAGGTGAGTTCTGGTTTGCGGCGATTCCACAACATGGTTACAAGATGAGCAGAAAAACTGCGAACTAAAAACAAATGTGACAGATGGAGCGTACCAGTTTAGTTTAATTATTGCACTAAACATGAACAGTACATACTTTGCTGCATTTGTAAGTGTGTTTATATCACGATTCTCACACGTGTCACACACCAACCAACAACAAGCTGTTTCTTCATCCACTCCAGTTACAACACCTGCAATCAAGGATCACACAGCAAATGAAAGGTCTGTGAGATGACATCACTGCAAGAATTCACGATGACGAGTTGGCCGGTGGGTGGGTGGGTTGTTTGTTCATCTCAAACTGAACAGACTTACCTTCAATGAGGTAAATGTAACCAGGAATTGAATGAAGTGATAGAGAAGGAAGGCAGGCTGGCTCTAAACTTGTCAGACTGTCAAAAATGTCCTGCTGTATATATTCGTCATGAAACTGGTAGGAGAAAAAACAAACATTCATTAAGTTATCATCTCGTCCTAAAACAATGCAGAAAGTTTTCTTTGTTCTGAGCAAATTCAGTTGTTTAAACTAAGACGTGTCAAAGAAGAAGCTCAATGGATCGAAAATTCAAACCACCAGAGAGAATTAACAGAACAAATGACAAAAACCGGCATCATTATTGTGATTCAGAGAGATACAACATAAAATCATAATGATAACGATAATGATGTACTGCGTACCAGAGTGGGAGTGACTGTAACAGATTGTGGAACAGCTTTTCTTATGACAGAATAAGCATCAGCAACAAGCTCATGGGATGCTGTAAATTAAGCATACGATGTGACGTTTCTTCAGTGTAGAAATGTTGATGTCAGTTAATCAAGTTTCTCCTATATAGTTGATCCAATACCAACTGGTCGGTACCTGGCGACGATTTAACAAACTCTGACACCTTCATCAAAATTTCCTCGAGCTTATAGTANTATATCACGATTCTCACACGTGTCACACACCAACCAACAACAAGCTGTTTCTTCATCCACTCCAGTTACAACACCTGCAATCAAGGATCACACAGCAAATGAAAGGTCTGTGAGATGACACCACTGCAAGAATTCACGATAACGAGTTGGCCGGTGGGTGGGTGGGTTGTTTGTTCATCTCAAACTGAACAGACTTACCTTCAATGCGGTAAATGTAACCAGGAATTGAATGAAGTGATAGAGAAGGAAGACAGGATGGCTCTAAACTTGTCAGAGCGTCAAAAATGTCCTGCCGTAGATATTCGTCATGAAACTGGTAGGAGAAAAAACAAACATCATTTTATTAAGTTATCATCTCGTTCTGTAAACAATGCAGAAAGTTTTCTTTGTTCTGTGCAAATTCAGCTGTTTAAACTAAGACGTGTCAAAGAAGAAGCTCAATGGATCGAAAATTCAAAACCACCAGAGTGGATTAAAAGAACAAATGACAAAAACCGACATCATTATTGTGATTCAGAGAGATACAACATAAAATCATAATGATAACGATAATGATGTACTGCGTACCAGAGTGGGAGTGACTGTAACAGATTGTGGAACAGCTTTTCTTATAACAGAATAAGCATCAGCAACAAGCTCATGGAAAGCTGTAAATTAAGCATACGATGTGATGTTTCTTCAGTGTAGAAATGTTGATGTCAATTAATCAAGTTTCTATATATAGTTGATCCAATTCCAACTGGTCGGTACCTGACGACGATTTAACAAACTCTGACACCTTCATCAAAATTTCCTCGAGCTTATAGTA